GGCAGATACTCCCTTCACCCTGGACAAAAAGGCTAAAATGACCAAAGAAAAAGTGGAAAACAGTTAAACATGAGAGGTTTTTGGACAAATTTTGTGTTCTCCATTGTTTGAGCACCGTTTAAGCACCGGCACGTTTCAAAAGTACTGGTTTGGCACCGGTATCGGATAAAACCTAAACGATACCCATCCCTAAACCTGACAGAAGCATATTTATCACAGTTCCACGTGCCCGCCTCCAGCTACCGAAGCAGTTTATTAGGGATGCAGCGGCTCGTGAGAGTTAGGGTTGTTAACGGCCTTTGATGTTCTTCACGTCTTCCTGTTTTATTTAATGAGAAAATGTTTGGAGGAATCACAGTAAATGTATAAATACAGTATAAACTTCAGGCTTTATATTCTAAACAGGCCCAGAAGTCCTGGATCAATCAACGATCAACGATCAACGATCAAGAAAATGTTCTTTTAGTTCAGATGTGGCAGAGAACGACGATCAATGAAATGACTTTAAACATTGTCGAGTGTGACGTGTCGTCCACGACCACAAAGCGGTGCTACGACAACCATAGACCTGGTGAACTGTTGCACCCCTACAGTTTACACACACAGAAACACATACACACCTGTTTCTGTTCTGGGCTCAGTGATCTCCACTGCTGGGCAATCGTCTTAATCAGATCCACTGCTTTGATTTCTGAAGAGAATAATGATGAAATGTTTAATGACAACAAAAACGCATCATTAGAGGAAGGACAGAGAAACTGTGACTGATCTCTGTGTCTCACAGAGCTGCTGTAGCCACACGGGCTCATTCACAAACTGTTCATACAGATCTGGAGAGAGGGCCGAGCCGGGCAGCTGACAGACATCTACAGCTCTGCACTGAAAGGCACTTTGGCCTTTAAAGGCAACAAAGTGCAGCACAACCATCTTCATAACCTCATTTTCATGGTTGTTAGAAAAGGTCACTGAAAGCAACATCTGCCAGTGTGGGCCTGGCCTGCTGATAATTAGCCACAATTCACTGTTTCCATTGTTGTCCAAGACAACGTGGTCAGTGTGTTACTGGACAATCCACACGCTCTTCTTTGGACTGATCGGGGCAGTGCTGTGGTGCTCCTCACTGCAGCAGCAAATCACGACCAGCTGCTGGAGCCGCTGATTCTCCTCACGGATATTTTAGGAAGCATGGCTGCACTTCCATGCTCCCACAGAAGTGTGCACAGGCTCCCCCCTCTGCTTCACCACCGTCATAACTACAACACGACTGTGGGAGAAATACTGGACGCCATCATGGCTGCTGTTTCCATCCCATCCAACCCCATGTGTTATCTTTATCCACGCTGTGCTGCATGCCAGTGCTGGATTCATTTCTGTTGCTGTGCTTTATTTTGAAGGACTGTGAAGTGTCTGAAGCCATCCCTCGTTTCTTTCTGTTTCTGGATTTCTTCACTGCCTTTGCTGCAGCATTTTCAACGTTTAACTCTGACCTGTGAAGTGGGATCAGGCTCAGGGGAGTAACCAGCATCTACATACACCAGGCATGAAACATTACTTCCAAACTAACAGGGTGATTTGCCAAGGAGCCATTAACCACAGCAATGTGTGCACATGGTGTGCAGTGTGTCCTTAAAACCAGCCATATATACTTTATGTCCATGTAGACTGCACGTTTTAATAAATCGCCACATCTATTTTCACTTTCTGCAGCAAAATACAAAGAGTGTCTTAAAGCCTCAGCCCATCACTGCCATGTAACTGCTTTCATATACACGAGGTTCAAACCTTTTCCTGTCTGAATGTTTGCATGTTCTCCTTCAGGCTGACCAACCTGCAGCGTGACGGTGCATACCTGGGTGCTGTCTGGCCACGATCGGCTTCTGTTGCTGAACATATCTCAGGTATCCGTTCAGAGGTCTCTTTGGAGGGGGGCGGGCCTCGGAGGTCAGAAACTTCACTGGGCTGAAGAATGCAGAGGGCAGCACGCTGGTACACCTGCAGGGAGGCAACACACATGAGAAGCCATCTCTCTCTCATCACGCTTATTCCACATTCAGGGTTCAGAGCTGGACTAACTCATGCCTGAGATCTGTGAGGAACATTTCTACTCATCATGACTGTCCGTGCATGTTCACACAGCACACTGCTAACTGGTGACACTTTACTGTCCACGTTGAAAGAAGACATTAGCATTAGCCTGCAAACACTGCAGCACTGCTATGTGAGCTGCAGCTACCTGCGTTTCCTGTCGGATGTGAAGAGCACAGCAGCTGACGGAGCTTCAAACCACTGACATCAAACGGAAACTGTTACAAGATGTCTGCTTTTCTGTTTACCAACAGGACCAATAACCGAAGTTTATATTTACGGCTGCTTCATGCTACGCGTACGTATGCTACCATCACCAACACTCGTTGTTCTAAAACACGATGTTCAGAGAGTTTCACACAGCAGACTCAGTGTGTCCAGTGTGTGCAGCTAGCTAATGCAACAAGCCTGGGTTAGCTACCTCGCCAGAGAGCCAGTGCAGGAGAGCACACTGAAGGACTTAGCCAGCAGGCTAACACCTGCTGCCAGCAAGTACGGAGCCATGTCGGCGGTAATCAGCGCGAAAGTCCGCGAACAGGGGAGCGAAGAGCAGGCGCGTTGTCTCTGTGCTCGTGCATGCGAGGCTGCGATAGCGCTGGAACCCAGGGAGCCCACGGACACGCGCCAACTGTCTACCAACAAAACGCGCCTTCACTCTCTCCCGGTGGATTGTGGGAAAAGGTCAACTGTTGTTTTTTTTTAACTTCCTGTGTTGAAGCTTTACTCCCAACAAAGCAGCAAATCAGCTTTACAGCACAAACAGACTCAAAGACAACGCGGTCAAAACAACTTTAAGACAACTAAAGTCATCTGATGTTCGTTTTGAATTAAACGAAACGGCGGTGTGATTGTACGTCACTTCCGTTTCCGCCTAGTGTTCGGAGGGCTCGATGGTTGTTTGTGACGAGTGTAGTTTCAAAAGCAGATTTGGTTTAAGCTGTTGTTGATTTAACCGTTAAAGTATAAGAGCGATATAGAAACATTTACTGAGGTTTTGCGGAAACGTTTGATCTCTAACAGCATCCAATCAGAATGCGTCCCAGCACGTGTTGTTTGGTGACTTTAGTGAGACTCGTGCTCTTTACCTCATTAATCAAACACCACATCCATAAATGTAACTAAACACAACTCTGTGTTCCTCTCACAATAAGAAAGCTTTAAAAAACATTAATATTTGTAACATTTTAATGTCTTTGTTTAATTGTTCAGTCCCACCGTTTTTCCCCTTTTCATCTGTATTTCTATCCTTTTTGTTTAATCAGACATACTCTTCCTCCATTATAATTTTGCAGTACAATTGTAAAACTGTTGTGTTATGCTTGTTAAAAGTTTGTTGAAATAAAGTTGGAGGAAAAAAGTGCAGTTTCTCCCAACGTTTCCCATTTTCCTACCAACATATAAAGAGACGGATGTTGGCTTACGACTTTTGCACAGTATGCTTGACTGTGCTTCCATATTCTCTAGTTTCACGTAACACCAGCCAGCACACAAGGCAGTCAAAGTGCAATAAGAGCACCACATACAAAGCGTGTTGCTCGTGTCAACATAAAGCACGGAGTTACACAATCATGTCATGATAGTAACGGTACTATTCTTTAATCCAGTACAAAATGTGCCACATGGGCCTCAGAGACACAGGTAGAAAACTTTACACAGGAACAAAAAGCAGGGTCTTTAGCCTTTGTTACGATGGAGTGCAGCTTGATGAGGACAGTGTAAGAAAGCTTCTCACTGGGCTGAAGCCTGATTGTTGTGCCTGTGGAAATCCAACGTCACAGCTACGATCAGGGGACGAGCACATCATTTTAATGAGAGCTTCACACTGTGATGACTCCAATCTGGATTCAAATAGAAAAAATCATTCCAAACAGACTGAATACAATATAGGTGTTGTCAATAATAATAACAATAATAATAACAACAATAGAAGAAAACAGCAACACATAAGAAATCGCTCCCATTTTCAGGACCCCTGCCACAGTACATCGTTTCATTTCAATCAGCTTGGTCTGCTACACCGACATCGAGACTCCTCCGTAAGCCAGCACATCGATGACGTGACGACGCAAAGAGAATATTAGTATCAGTACTGCTGTCTGTTGGAGGGCCGTACATGTTTCACATTCAGCCTTCAGTGTTTCTTCCTGGCTGCTGATGCACGAAGCAGAACGTTGGATGACGGAGCCTGAAGCTCGTGCTCCAAAGTTTTCCAGGACTTTTTCCTGTATTACAGAAAAGGGATTTGCATTCTTTGCAATACTTCTGCATTGTCTCACACTGTGCATTACATTCTGTGTGATCTGTACGAGGGTTCGTATACAGAGGCTGTAAGGGACAATTAGACAGGAAGGAGACATGACGCGACTGTCCTGCTATCGGTGCTCACATGCTAATAGGTCGGTGCTAACAGCATGCTGCTGCTTACTGTCAGAACAGCTAACTGAATGTTTTCAGTAGTAACCTGGAAAGATCCACAGCACCATCAGCTCAGACAAAGAAGCAGCCAACAACAACCACACATCTGTGCTCACAGCCAGCAGCTCCACGCTGTTCCTCATCACAGCGTCTCGCATCATCTCTCCTCTCTGCAGCCAATGAAGTATTAGCCTTAATTGGCTGTGTCCAACTGGACTGGATCAACACAGCAACAGTTACAGTAATAATGTAAGGAACACAAAAGTATTGTTAGGTAAAGTAAGACAGGAGTCGACCTAAGACGTCCTGCTGCGGCCCTTCTGGATCTCCGTTCACAGCACAGCTGACGTGGGCTTGTTCCCGTTTGGCATTTCTGTCCTCTCATTTTATACTTGTACTTAAAAATGAAAGAAAACAATCTGTAATAATCATAAATGTCACAAATGAACCGTCCGTGGTGCAATAATAACATGCCAAACGTTAAAAATGCCCAAGTATCCACTGAGTGCGCACAGGCGGGCTGTGGCCTGCTCCGAGTCCAGCTTCTTTTCAGGAAAAACAAAAACAACCCCCCAAAGTAATGCAGATGTTATCGGCCTCGGATTAATAACGATGACAACAGTTCAGTTTGGTGGAAGTTAAGTAGGATTATTCGATGAGTTCGTACTATAATTTCAGTGCGTGTTGACTTTAAAAACAGATGGAAAAGAAAGAAACTAAATGTCAGCCTGTCGTCTTTGCGTTGTGCTCATCGTCTTCACATGGCGTACTTCTGGGTCCATTCTTTTGCTAGTTTGTTGTATCTGAGAAGAGAGAAAAGAAAAATCGATGACAACGTCAGACACACTCGCTTTACTAAAGACGTTAGCATGCGTGTGTGCGCGCTCACTTGTCTTTGTCGTTCTTGTAGATGTGAGCTATGTCAGGCACCAAGGGGTCGTCTGGGTTTGGATCACACAGCAATGAACATATGGACAATAAAACTGCAAAAAACAGGTGAAAGGATCCCGTCAGTGAGCTGAGGACAGTTTCATTGTCGAGTGTGTAGAAACGACACACTTCAGTGAACACGGGGCAGACGTGACGCTGTGTGGGAGCAGAGGTCACGTTTTAAAACACAGACACACACACATGTGATTACCTTTAGACACCGTCAGTGCTGGAGACCACTGTGACCGCAGGATGTCCAAGCAGATGCTGCCGTTGCTGTTTATATTTGGGTGATAAATCTTTGTTGTAAATGCTACCTGGAATAAAAACACGAATGACGTTAGTAACAGCGAGTGGAATAACTGAAGTGAGCAGGTCCTGAGTGACACCTTCCTCGTCGTCAAGACGACTGAAGCAACTACCAATGAAAGAGCAGGATACGTTTCCAAAGTAACCCAAGCCTGTAACGTCCACTACCCACCATGACATCATGACAGCGACACACAACACGTCTCCCTGTGTGGCGTCTGGGCACCGTCGTGGATTTAAATCAATGCAGATTTTCAGCTTTGATTCAGCGGCTGAACAACAACGTTACATTATCTGTTTGAAAATCACAGGCTCGACTTTCAGAGGCTCAACAGTAAGTGGACCATGAAGTGACAAACTCAAGCACAGCAGCTGTTCATTCACTGACAGCAAACGTACATGCACACAGACACACAAACAAGCAGAGCAGTTAAAGACCAGGAGACGTCCTGGGATCCTGTTAATGTCAAACTTTTGTTAAAGCTTAACGCCTGCACTTCAGTCACTTCCTGTTTGATTTAAAAGCCACACTTGCTGTCCCCGGTTAAGTTTAGTCTTTTTGTTTGTCAGACTTTTCTTTTGGCATCAGGATTAGTTCATGTGTGGAAAACCTGCTTAAAGAGCTTTATTCAGGTGTCCAACCACCGCGGGCCACCGATCCTCCCAGTCTCACCTCAGTGAGCAGTGAGCAACATTTTCCCAAAACACACGCCCTTATTTACTTATCAAATCAGCCAGTGAGCCTGGTACACGTGTCCAGGAGAGACCACTCCTAGGAGGACAGAAATGTCTCAGGACAAAAGTGAACAGTTTATCTTCCAAGAAGGCCGCCACCGCCCTCTGTAACTCTGACTGCAGTAATAACACACTGTGTTTGTGCTTGTTCCTGTGTGTGTTTGCACAGTCACCCTGTACTAACCTAGACTAGCTGTGTGACAGACTAGTGACCCGTCCAGGGTGTAGTCTGCCCCTCACACCATCTCACTTCCTTTCCTGCCTAGTATGACCTTAAAACGGATAAGTGGTTAAGAGGCCGTGTGGATGTGTTGCTGTGTATGTACGAAATGTGGCACAGTGATGCAAGTTGTCAGCTCTGTGAGACAGGAGCTCTAGCAGCGTGACAGGAGATAAGCTTGGGGCTCTTACCTTTGGTGGCTTGAACGGGTAGTCAGTAGGAAAGTGAATTGTGAGAAAGAAAACTCCTCCTTGGTACGGACTGTCACCCTGACAAGAAAACACTTCTGTCAACACAACAGTGAAAAGATTCAGGTGGAATCAGTCGGCTCACTCCTGCCACAAATGGTACCACTTCTCATTTGTCTATATTTATTTATTTTTCTATATGAGAATAATTTCAAAGAAATGTCCCAGATATGGTGTAAATAAAGTATTTCTCATTATTTCTGATGCATTTTAGTGCAGGAAACATTATGAGAGAAGAAGAAGCAAATGGCTCAGCGTGACACTCACCGGGCCCATTATTGTTGCCTGCCAGTGAAACACTAGGAACAAGAAACAAAACAGAGGCTCATGTAAGAACGCAAGCTGTACATTCAACCAACACAATGATCAGAGGCCATCATCCATCACGTTACACATGGTGTGTGTACAGAGCTCAGTGCACACTGTGTACTGTGTCCACAGACAGCTGTGCTTTATCATCAGCCTTACTCTAACCGGCTGATTACAGGGTGACTAACAGCCGTCGCTCCCATTTCCCAGTTAAAAGATAACCTATGGAACAGCTCATAGTTAACCCTTTGGAGAACCCCTGGCTGTCCATTCAATTTTAAATTGGTCCTAGACACAGCACCACAGTCCAGTCCTGGGGTGTTCTCCCTGTGAAACGGCACAGGGCGCACGCATACAGTCACTTTCAGGCGATCAGGATGGCGTTCCAGGCTTCGACAGAGGTCCGGCTTTCTAGAAGCTAGTCTGACCTCTCTGCAGAACTTCCTAGTAAATCTTTCAGGACCCTTCTTTAGCCAAATGAAACCTTTTCTTCTGATATCTACTTGACTCGTTCTTCCACCGCTCTTTTTTTATAACTGACCCTACCAAAAAATAAATAAAAAAATAAATCCTCTTGAAAACTATTTATGTTTTGCTTTAGATTGTTAAGATAAAACGTAGAATGACATTTAGGAACTGTGAAGAGTGTCAAGGCCGACATGCAGGATGTGAACTC